AGGGCAGGTCATGTCTGTTTATCCAGTTCTGTGTACTCAACACGTAATACAAAGCCTGGCATATAGTAGGCATTTTGTAACTATTTCCTTCAAGAGGCATGCATGAATGAATGAACAAATTTATTCTTTTCTAGTAGCTTATGCAGAAAAGCTGTGTGTTTTTTAATATCCTTCTTGTAATTTATAGTTCTATACAGATAATTCCTGAAAAAATCCTATTATAAAGTATGATGAAATCAACTATGATTTTATATCATTATCATCAATCATTTTGTCAAAATTATTTTCACATTTAATAAGTTTATAAACATATAAGATGACAAATAATTTAACTCCAAAAAGTTTACAATTGTAACTATGAAAAGGCCAACCCAAGAGGAAAGGGTCGTTTTAGTTCTGGCCTGTTTCTCTTTTGTGTCTATATATTTTGACCAGTTTATAATTGTTTTGTTAAGAGACAAGTCAACTTGTTAATTGTTCAACTATTATAGCTAATCAAGTAGGTGAAACATTATTTCTTTAAAAATATCACCTTGCAGTTGGAGAGAGAAAGAATATCTGTGATTCTTTTATCTGCAGTTAAAATAAAGACCTACATAAACTTCAGGTAAGTATGTCTTGTGAACACCTAGAATTGCCAAATTTGATTGTGTTGTTTAGTTGAGTCGTCCTTTTAATCTTTTGGGGAAACACAAAGATAGGTTTCATCACTATAAAGTTTAGGCCTTCAAAAACCATCTCTTATATGAATGTTATTATCATGGACATTTCTGAAAGTGTCATTTTATGGATACCATTGATAACCTCTTTCAACTTCCGTTTCACCCCACTTCTACTTGGAAAAATTGGGATGCATCTTACAGACTCACTTGCAGCCAGTTCTGGAGACCTATCAAGTTCCACCAATTATATACACCTACACGAGATTGAAAGACAGAAGTGGTTTGGCAAAGCAGACGAATTATTTGGCAAATAAAGATGTTAGTAATTTGCCGAGGCCTGCCTCAGCATTTCCAGGATCTAGTCTTTGTGGATATGAAAAGACAGCTCTGTTGAACAAAGCAGTCTCCTAACCTACTGATGTGCCCTAATGCTTAATAATCCAAATTTTGATTATTTTATTTTAATTCTTCTAGTTATTCAATAACATTGCAGGTACGCAGTTCCCTGGATAGAATGTCTTCTAGTAGTACTCACAGATTTAGATCTAATCTGTTTAGTATTAGATCTTACATCTAATACAAACCTAGAGAGATGTTTTTAAAAGTCTTTATTCCTTTTGCCGATTGCCTTTTTTTATGGCATTTCTTCAAGTGAAAATGGACCTTATAACATTGCAAAAATATCAAGATAATTTTTTAAAATTTTACATACTGTTTTTAAGTGGTAGGTATTTGTTGTGTGTGTGTGTGTGTGTGTGTGTGTGTGTGTGTGTGTGTGTGTGTGTTTTAATCATGGATGACTTTAAATATACATAAGTAAGGGAGTGATATAATTAACCCCTAATACACCAATTGCACAGTGTCATCCCTTATTAATTAATGGGCTGGGAATTTTGTATCATATAAAATCCACCCACCCACATCTTCCACAGAGATCACTGGCAAAGTGTGTTTTACCAGTGATGTGCAGTAGACACCCATCTATCATTGAATAGAATTTAAGCCTTAGGTTCATTATGTCTGCATAACAATAAAATATAAGGGGAATACAATAAAATAACATAAATAAATGCATATATTTTACAATACAAATAATATGAACATTAACATACATATAATAAAATATCAAAAGAACACTCATTTATTAAATAAGCATGTAGGCATATCTTATGCCTTGTAAATTTCCTACTATTTGAGGCTACAGTAGTGAGATCATATGCTCTACCATATTCCTCTATTTTAGGAAGAAATGACCTATGTTCCCCAGCTCTTCAAGATTTCAGGTTACTCTCAATTTCTCTCATTATTTCTATAAAATTTTACTACTTTCCTAATAAGCTTAAAACTCACTCTTTGTAAACCATATTGCTGTGAAATATGAAATGAAAATATAAAGAATTATTAAATCCTGAAAAGAAACAAGTTAAAAACTAGCACTAACTGAAAGTCAATTTCTCTCTGTCTCTCTGTCTCTGTCTTTCTCTCTCTCTCTCTCTCTCTCACACACACACACACACACACACACACACATACACACACAATTTTGAGTATTTGGGGGTTAAGGGAATGCAAACAAACTATTCATATATTTTATCAGGAAGTTGAACTGATTTGGAAAACTCAATGGAATGTTGTGTAATCAAAAGTAAAAATGACAAGCATACAAACAGAAAACTGGTTCCAAGAAGGACAAACTTGTTTTTCAACGCTAGCTGAGTAGTCCTGCCCAGATATGCTGAGCAAATGCCTAGATCGGTCTCTGCTTTGGTGGCTGAGCACTATCCTCATAGGAAGTGATATTGGCATCATTAGTTCTCTTGCCAGTGGTGCACAACCTCACTTTGACATGACGACTGCTGGGCTAATAACACAGGTCTCCCAGTGGCATGGGAGTATAAGATTTTCCTATGAACCATTGCATAAAAGCATGTTTTGTCATTTCCCTCAAAAAGCCAAACACACATGCACACACACATACATGTGTGAGCATACACACACATCCCATTGAGTTTTGCCAAAAACATTTTTTCAGATTTTGCATTTGCATGCATATGACAAATGCTTGAAAATTACAACTCAAAATTTTCTTCTGCAACTCCTTTAGTAAAACCGATAGCAAGGATGAAATATCTTGGTTTGTCTTCACCACTCAATCATGTAATTTTCACAGATCCACTGCTTTAAGCAAGCAGTTTCTCAGTACCTTCATGGAGTCAGAACTATTTTTCCTTTCGGATGATAAAATATATATTTTATCAGAAAATAAAAAAAGTTTTAAAAGGAAATGAATGAATATTTAATAAAACAATAGACTCTACAATAATACATTCTTAATATGGAACTTTGGATATAAAGGAATGGGCAATCAGCTCTGAGACACACAGAATGTCTGGTTGATCCTTCCTGCTCATTTCATCAGCCATATAATCATATAATTCTTAACATTTTACATTTTTTATACCCAATTTAGAACATGATGCCAGAGACTTCTAGACATTTCTATTTGCTGCTTGCTAATAGTAACCATTATGAAGTTTGACATCCTATTCTCTTCTCTGTAGGGTCCTCACCACCATCATTTTTTCCACATACACTATTACTACCTAGAAAGGGAAAGATTTTCACTAAAATTCCATGTAAACCAGTCTGACCTCCCTAGATGATGCCCTACCCTGAAGCTTTCTTAATCTTCTTCTTTTAAGCTTACCTACCACCTCATTTTCTAGGGTACCATATTCAGCTTACTATTACACAGGGAACATCTGGAAATCTCATTTACTTTAAGTTTCTAATAGCTGAAAGGAGTTAGATTTTTTTTTTTTTTTTGAAATGGAGTTTCGTTCTTGTTACCGAGGCTGGAGTGCAATGGCGTGATCCTGGCTTACCACAACCTCCGCTTTCTGGGTTCAAGCAATTCTCCTGCCTCAGCCTCCCGAGTAGCTGGGACTACAGGTGTGTGCCACCATGCCCGGCTAATTTTTGTATTTATAGTAGAGAGGGGGTTTCACCTTGTTGACCAGAATGGTCTCGATCTCTTGACCTCGTGATCCACCCACCTCGGCCTCCCAAAGTGCTGGGATTACAGGCATGAGCCACCGCTCCCGGCCAGGAATTAGATTTTTACCCCATATACACAAGCCCTAGAAGATTTGCATTTTAATAGGGGACAATTCTTTCATAACTCAAAGGAATGGAATGGTTCTAACAGTAGAATTTTAAGCAACACTGAGATCAGTGGAGGAAATATTTGAGGTGAGAATGCCTATCATCAAACCATAACACTTGAGATGTTTGTCTTTTCCATGTAAACTTAAGCCCAGCTTGAATAAAAGCCAATATTCATGTTTGAACAAGAATGGAAAGAGAATAAAATTTAAAGCAAAAATCAAAACTGTCAAATTGTTGAATAACCTTATTTCTTAATGGGATGCATTATTCTCTCTCAGCTTCTTATCTTTGCAAAGTGGTATTGTTGTTAACTATGTAGCTCTTCTCAAGTTCATTGTATCTTGACCAAGGTGGCCCTCACCTTGATTAAAGTTTAATAGGTTTCTTTCTGACCTTCGGCAGCTCCTGATCTCCCTTTTCTTAGAGCATTTACTTTAGAAAACTGGAAAACTAGTCATTGGAAATTCTTTCTCTGCTCTTTTGAGATATAATTCTTTTTTTTTTTTTTTTGTGGGGGGTGGTGTGAGGAGACACGGTCTCCCTCTGCCAGCCAGGCCGGAGTGCAGTAGTGCAGTTATGGTGCTCACTACAGCCTCAACCTCCTGGGCTCAAGCAATGCTCCTGTCTTGGCCTCTCAAGTAGCTGGGACTTTTACAAGCCACTTTCCAGTTTTGCAACCCATAAAACCTTTCTCAAGGAACTGGGAGCCATCCCTTTGAAATGTAATCATCGAGAAAGATAGTGCCCCATCTCTCCCAGTTTCCATGGAATGATAGGAGCCTAACTTCCTTGGGCTCCTTGCTCCACATTGTGAATCTACTTCCTGTCATGGAGATATAAGACCGAAAGTTTATGTTTTTTGGGGGAAAGACCAATATGCAAATACAGATGTCCTGTGATTCCCCACACCAGCCGTTACAAACACTCCTGCATTTTGTTTTAGTGGAATTGAGTTCAGACGCAGTTCCAATCTCTCTCTCCTATTGCAATAGCCTTGAATAACGTCTTCTTTGCCTGTTTAACTTTGTCTAGTGCAAGTTTTGCTTTGACCTTCACTTCTTGGGTAGATATAAGTAGGTGTGTATAATTTGTGTATGTTGCATGAGGAGTCTTTCATGAAGCAAACATCCTGAGCACAATCCATCCAAGGAAACAAAGAAAGCGTGATACCTTTTTTTTCCACATCAACGGAGGTTTCCTTCTCACTTTTCTTTTTGACATCTTCTTTTTCTGCTGGTAAAATAAGAAAATTGTAAGTCTTTACCTGTTTAACTTGCATGTATTTCAGGGCATGCATGGCTACCATTGAGGCATCCAATTCATCTTGTATAGAGGAATCCTAAATCAGCCATAAGTCATGTCAAATATGAATAAGGTAGCACATTCATAACAGACTAGTTAGCTTAGGTATAATTCCTCTTGAGGAAAAAGAATTTTTTTTTTTTTTTGCCAAAGGCAAAAAAGATTTAATAACAGTGAAAACATTAAATGGCATTATTATGGTATTATTTAACAGCTTTCATAACATATATTAAAAATAACTTATTGAATATTCTCCGAGCTATAAGGTCACAAGAAGCATGTCAAAAGTTCTGAAATATCTGAAGTTTACTTAGGACATCAGATGAATTATTTGAAAATAACAAGTTTAAAAAAATATATATATATATATATATGTAAAACAAACCAGTCAAATATTTTCTGCCTTCTACATAAAATGACTTGATCTTCTTTTGGTAGACTTTTAAAATTAAACTGAATTCGTTAAATATTAACCATCATATTCACACATGTAATTAAGTAAAGTAGTGAATTAGAGAGAACTGAGCAACAGATCTAAAGAAAGGAAAAATAATCACAGTAGTAATTTTCAAAAAGTGTTTAGGCTTAAATTCTCTTTTTAAAAATTGACAATTTTAATTTTATTTGGAATACTTAAACATGTTAAGAGTGTTCATTAATAACAATGACAATACATTTATTAAGGAAATTTCTTTCCTAGAAAATAATATGTTTACCAGTAGTGTTATGCATAGATACTAATTGATTTATTTGGTACACAGCTTTTAAATTTCTTACCTTTCTTTTTTGTTTCAGAAGTAACTTTCTTCTCAGCCTTCTTCTTTTCCCCTTCTTTTTCTAGAGAAGAAATTTGAAATGTTTCCTTTAGGGAAATTTAGTATGAAAGCAAAACCAAGGTTGAAATGTAGGATTTTTGTTAAGTTAGTTCTGCCTCCAACTAGCTTGGTGACGGAGTGAGCAATTTAATCTCACTAAACCTTATTTTCCTCATATATAAAATAATAATATCTCCCTCAAAGTTAATGTTTACAAAACATTCTGTACAGTGCCTGGCTCACAGTAAATGCATAAAATTGTACTGCTAATACTATTTACACATAATGAACAAGACAGTTTGAGCTTTCTGAACTAAACAGTTGTTTAGTGCCTAAAAGTATTGATATATACAATTAAAATATATTTCTTAGAAAATATACCACAGATAAACTAAAAGAATTTTTTCTTTTTATACATTCAATTTCATTAGAAATAATCTATTAGGCCATTAAAAACGTATCTATTTTGAGGTGGCTGTTTTTCATATCTGGCTCTTGTCAACAGGCATTTAAGCCTGGTGACAAGTGTCTGGCAGTGTGTTGGAGACATAACTTCCACTGTCCTTTCTGAGTGGTTTTATCAACAAGGGTGTTCAATCTTTGCACCCAGAGGTTGCAGTAAGTCTGGATCCCACATCAAACTGTTCGTGGTACCTCTAAACTTCATGGAGGAGTTGTGTTTCATAAATCTGAGAAAGCCTTGGTCTGAGGGGAGCAAAGACAGAGAACCTCACACACCACCCATGCATAGTCACTTTGCAGTTGGACATCCCTGGACACTTTTCTGGTAAGCATAGTTATTTCAAATAATGAAGTCTTGTACTAATGCATAGTTGTTGAAATAGAACGTTAAGTGGTTTTAGATTTGAGGCAATGATAGCTATGGTTCATGTTCTAAATTCACTGACTTTTATATTTAATTAAGAGTGCTATTTACCTTATATTTGAAATATCTTTCTCTTTGTGAGTTGTCTCTCATCTCAGGTACAGGTACATTCAAAGACTTCCATTACCCAGAACTATTATAAGATTATTATTATGCTAAAGAAATTCAATATGTAGTTCTAGAATGAATGCGTAAGTTGTCTACTAGTGACTGTATATTATTAAATATAGGAATTAACTAGTTCCCTTAGGGATAGAGCTTTTTTACCTACAAGGTCAAAGACAATACTTTCTTTCAATGTTAGAAGTAAAATTTATAGAGAATCCCTTTCAGGACTTCTAGAGATAATCTAATGTCGCAGGGAAAAATGTATTCACATTTTGTCTAAATGTGTGTACAGCATACTATTTAAAGCTCATCCAATCAGAAGTAGAAAGTCAAGAAGTCAAATTTTGATAGCTCCAGACATAGAAATAAACCAATTGAATTCCACTTTTCCTTTTCCTAAAGGTTTATGCATATTAAACGTGTGGATCATATTTAATATTCTGAATAAAGATATTTTTAAGTATCACTACATTCAGCTTCTCTGGGAGATATTTTGTGTAGTGGTAAATTTTACATCATCTCTAGATAAATGCATATGCCAGATAATTGAATGAACATTTGCTAAGCATCACCTCTGATGTCATGTATCAGAAAAAGGGTTAATTAAAATACAGATGACTTGAAAATATTTCTAAGCTCATGCTAAACACCAATGTCATAATCACCATAAAATCAGAACTCACTATCCAAGTCTCCATATTTCATAAGGTTGATGCATAAATATTTCATTAAAAAGCTTGTGCCGATTAGTCAGTCTTACACTGAACTTCACAAAGAAAGTAGATATCTGAACCCAGAAGATGGAAGGCATTCATTTCTTTTTCTATTTTTTTTTAAGAGAATACCCTTGTGTAATAAATTCTACCCTTCAAATTAATATATCTGGAATTTTATTGTGGTGATAGAGTATTCTTGTCTTAGTCCAAATTGAATTAATGTTCCCATTATACACTCTGCTTGTGATTACAGTCATATGCCATGAGAGTCATGAATAAGAGCAGAAGTCCACAAAAAGCAGATATAAATAATATCCTTTAATAACGCTTTTATGAATTAGACCTTTAAGATGTCATTATGAGACTTACTTTATTCATGGTGAATTTCATTTAAAATGTCAACTTCTGAAGATTCTACATTTCTTCAAGCACTATTGTCTCTGTTCTATAGGTGATTTGGCAGTAATGGAATTAATTTTTCACTTATAAAAACATAACAATTTAATTATGTCCTACTTGGATATAAAAATAACTCATGTTTCTTTTATGAAAACTTCCCTGCCCCTGACTTTTTCTTCCTCAACAGCCAACAGTACTCTTCCCTTTCTGTCTACCTGACTTTGAATCCACATAACAAAATTCCTCTTCCATCTCTTTCTCATTGGTTTCCTGGGTTTTTTTTTTTTTTTTTTTTCCTGGGTTTTTTTTTTTTTTTCAACAGCTAGAGAAGAATTAGAGCATTTAAGCCTATTGATGTTCAGAAAGTTAACAATTAAATGTATCTACAGGATGTGAAAGTATCAGACTATTACCTTTCCCTGACAAAAGTATAATAAGCCCTGAAATGATGTTTGCATTCTGTCAGGGATCACAGGAGAATCTGGTTGGGAGAGAAATCTTCCCTACAATGAGCAGCTCTGAGCCACAAATATGTTATTAGCTTCGCATAAATTAACGTCACATGAAAGAAAAATAAAACGACTTACTTTTTACTTTCTAAGCCCTCACAATGAGTTTTTCTCCTGCTTTTAAATGTTTTTAAGCCATCTCAAAGCCAGACAATGCACAATAGTTAATTACAATTGTAAAGCTTTCTAAGATGCCCGTTCCACGAAGAAACAAATGCAAAATATTTTATTTTTGTCTTACAGTTTGTTCCTCCCCTCTCTGCCCTTCTAATGTAGAGATTATCCTAATTCTGCGTGTCAGAGGGGTGCTTTTCTTCTAACACTCTGGCCAGAATTGATGTATTCCTGGTTCCAGTTAAGTAAACAAGAACTTGTTTCTTTAATAACAAGGCATTCAAACACCTCATCACTGTCACCTTGTTTTCTTAGAGTGGCAGAGATTGGCCTGGAACCCAGCTCACATTATGATCATGGAAAATTTTACATAAGCCTAAGATAAGTTCAGTTACATGAGTGATTATTAGAGTTCTTCCATTGTTACCTACAGAGGGTTGTGCAGCACAAGAGAAAGCACAGGTGCTGGCATTGATGACCTTGGACATCCATTCTGTCCATTACTCTTCCTAGTTGTGTGACCTTGGGCAATGTGCTATGGCACACTGAATTTCACTTTCCTCATTTGAAAAGTGGAGCTAATAAAATCTACCTTGCTTACTTGTGAGAAATGGAGATAACTGAGCTAAAATGCCTGGAACAGAGGGCTGTTGAAAAATAATAGTAATAATGACAAGCTATTACTATATTTTGTTAATAGTAAAAATCTGACCACATATAATCTTATAAGGTAATTTTTAGGTGTGACCTTTATTGATCTCTTTAAGTAAACACAACTTTATTCTTATTTTTCTATATCCAGTGAGTGTATGTCTAGAATACTTTGTATTGAGAAACTAAAGGAAAACAATACCTAGAAGCAGGACAGAAATATGTTATGAAGGGTGCTGTGCTGCAGTGAAGTGGATTCAAGTCTCAGTTTTGCTGTTAACAGTAGCCACCGCCTTATGCAACTGTAGATGAATGCTGTATCTTCTGTCTTCAACCATAGAGGCCGAGAAATGAGTAGAATGTGTTTAAGTCCCTTTCACCTGTTTATTCCTTATTTACCAAGTGAAATAAATGCATCATCTTGTATTTGTTTTCTGATTTTTCTGGGATTAGGTAACTTAAAAAGAGTTGCAAATAGCTATGACATGTTGTCTGGTTTTGATATGGCTAAAAATCATTTAAAACAAGAGAAAATGAGTATGTATACATATACTATATATATATCTATAATATATAGTATATGTATACATAGTGTATATAATATGTAGTATAATATGTCCATATATACTATATATAATGTATAGTATATGTATATATACTATATATATATAAATGGGACAGGTGATGATAAAGGTTACAAAAAGCAAATAGAAAAGCTTGATTTGGAGAATTAAAGCCTGAGCGCGTAGGAGGTGGCGTGGTTTGTTTTAAAGGTGGATAGGGTAAACCTTTCTGAATGAACAACTGGAAAGATTATTTTAAAAAGTGGAAGAGCTTTGGGCTATTAGGGAGAAGACTTTTCAGCAGAGGAAAAATCTCTGCAGAGACCCTGAAATGAGAGCATGCCAGATAAATTCAAAGAAGAATCAGTGCCATTGAGGCCAGAGCTGAGGATTCAGAAGGGGAGTGCTGACTGCTGCGGTCGAGGTGTAGCAGGGCTGATCTCTAGAATCTTGTTGTTCATGGTATGAATTTTCCATTTCCCTGTGAGTCACATAGGAAACCGCTGAGAGGTTTAAGAAGAGAAGTCATACAACTCTGAGTGATGGTTTAAGAAAACCTTTGTCTGTTGCTGGGTGATATCAAGTGTCTCGTTAAATTTTGTGATCAAATTTTTAAGGGAGAAGACTTAGGGGAAAAGTAATTCAGAATAAATATTCTTCTTCTATATTTTTTTTTTCAAAAATTTCCTTGGAATTTTATTTGGGACTCTGAAAGGCATGCAACTTTATAGAAACATAAAGAGTTCCTCCCTTCACATTGTAATTAGGTTGCTATGACAGCAAAGCTTTTTAAATTAAGGACTTCACTTTAGTTACGTGGCATAACTAAGCTGGCCTTTCAGACTCTGAATCTATTTTCTTTGCCTTGACTTTTCTTTAATGATAGCTGAATTATTCTCAGAAGTTCTCTCTTCTCATTATCAGCTGTTAACAACAAACAACTAACAACCAGCTATTCTACAGTACTTTCCATTGACTACACAAGACCTTTACTAATACAATTTAGTCACATAAATCAACAAATGCTTATCTAGTCTTATGCCAAAATCCTTTGCCAGTGTTTGGAGTTTTAAAAA